TACAAGGTGGAGTTGTCATTCAGTAATACGGGCATACTGAAAGATTTCTATCCCAGCACCTGTTAAGAAAACTTTTCTCAGGCTGTTATTTCCTTTCCATAGCAGCACTGGATGATTTCTTTCCAAGTCATGCTAAAGCCCACCAGAATATTTGAAACGTTGTCTAATTGTCTCTGAGAGGAGAATAGTCATATTGTCCATGATTCCGAAAATAGTATCGACAGTTTAGTGCAGGCATTGAATTTTTATTTCAACGAAGTTAGAACATTAATACTGAGAAGAGTCGGTAGCAGACAGTACTGCGAGGTGCAGGGTGTCTGGTCAGCCAGAACCCCTCTGAGTGTGACAGGTGCTGATGAGGATTCCTGGCACAAGCTGGATAGTCTGTAAACTCTGGACAGAATTTCTGCAGACCTGTACAACAGAGTCACACAGCACCTGCTGTGGCCATGGGTGAACTGGGGGACACGTGCTGTTACCCTCAAGACAGGGTCTGGAGCACACGTGCTGTGAGGGGCGGCTGGGGGTGTTCAGCCTGGGGAAGAGGAGGCACAGGGAGATCTTACCGCTCTCTACAGCTCCCTGAAAGGAGGGTGCAGAGAGTTCAGGGTTGGTCTCTTCTCCCAAGTGACAAGTGATGCGACAAGGGGAAATGGCCTTGCATTGCGCCAGGGAAGGTTTTGATTGGATGTTAGAGAAAATTTCTTCATGGAAAGGGCTGTCAGGCATTGGAACAGGCTGCCCAGGGAGGTGGTGGAGAGTCACCATCCCAGGAGGGATTTGACATGTGGGCAGGGTGCTCAGGGACATGGTGTAGTGGTGGTATGAGCAGTGTTGGGTTAACGGTCTGATGATCTTTTAGTGGTGGTATGAGCAGTGTTGGGTTAACGGTTGGACCTGATGATCTTAAAGATCTTTTCCAACTTAGACATTCTATGATTCTAATATTCTGTGGTTGTCTTAAGTGCATTCCTGTAGGCCAGAAAAGGCTTTGGTCCTCTAATGAGGACCTTGAAGTATCCAGTGATTTCACCAAGACTTTTGGCTATGCAAAAAATGTAGCTTGAAGCTTAAGTAACCAAACTGCTCACAAACCAGGGGGAAGAAATGGTAACAAAGCGAGGAGAAAGCGCTGATGTTCCCACAAAAGTATTTAGTATTGTGATTTAAAATATCTTAAGGGTTCCCAAGTTAACCAAAATCTCAGGTCTATCATTCCCTTTACTGGCCCAGACAGAAGAGGATAGATAGAATTTTGAAATACGCACATGAGTATTAAATCCACGATGTTGACCTTGAGCTATAGAATAAACTTTGCATCGTGAGAGATCTAGTGTACTTTGCACTTTATTAACATGTATCTGTAAACACTATGGGGTCTTGATTGATCTTCGGTATCTAAACATTACATCATAATTAACAACAAGTCCAGAAATATAAATACATGAAATAATAGTACATTAACCTAAAGAACAGCAATAAATTGCAACGTTTAGCATAAACTTGAAAACCACTAATGGGCCACTGTGCAGTTTGTTTATGCTAGAAGCAGTCAAGAACTCTGTGTAATGGACAGTAACAGTGTGGTGGATAACAGCACGACTGATGTGGTAATTTATATTATTTTTTTCATGGATACACACAGCTGATTTTTCAGAGTGATTTCTGAGACTGCCATGGTGAACATTCTACTTTCAGCTTGGTGCACTGCTTTCTTCCAGGTCTGTTGGAAAGTTGTGGACTCTTTGCATTGCACAGATTAGTGTTTTTTTGATACAAATGTATTTAATTCATACCCTTGTATGAAGTTGGAAATATTCTCAACTGCTTGGGCTGTCTGTGGCGCTGCTACCCATCCTCTCCCTGTGAAAGATCAGCGAGGCCGTTTTTGAGACTGGTAGGAGATAGGTAGAATTAGTGCATGTGCAGCAGCAGTTTCCAGAACACTTTCTGCCACTGCTGGGTAAGGTTTTGTAGCTCTATTTCTATAAATCTTAATTCATTTGACTCATCTGTCAACACTTCTTTTTCTTGTTATTGCTGAGTCTTAAAAACTGTTAGTTCTCTGCTCTGTGGTTTCAGCCATATTTTAAGTAGCCACGACCATGATACCTACTCGAACTGCAGCAAGTGTTGGTAGTCTTAAAAACTGTTAGTTCTCTGCTCTGTGGTTTCAGCCATATTTTAAGTAGCCACGACCATACCTACTCGAACTGCAGCGAGTGTTGGTGATCCTTACTGCAAAGAGAGCATTTGGGATTACGTTATTCCAGAATTTCTCCTTGAAGATCAGGAATACTTTTTTCTGTCTAATGTTTACATGGAGAAAAAACGTCCTGTAATGATTGTTTCCCAGTTTCCTGGCTTGTGTCATCATACTGTTGTTTGTGTTTTTAAAACAACATAATACTCAGTTTTCAGCGCGCATCCTTAGGATTAATGCAGAAACACAGACGTTTCTGTTACGCAATACAGCGAGATACATTTGTTTTTCTCTGTCACCTCTTAGAAATGTCCTGTAAAAACGCTTTACCAAATACCGTAAGATAAGAGAGGGTCCGTGGTAGGTGTGAGTAAAGCAGTGATTTGAAGAGTTTGGCTGTGAAGTCAGCTGAAGTGCAGGAGGGAGGAGGTTGAGGAGGCACAGGCGGCCCGAGTGTCCTGTAAATACGGCTCAGAGGTGTCAGCCCGCAGGGAGCCTTGCCAAGTCCCTTCCAGGTAACTGATTTCAGAGCAGAGCACTCTCAAAGAGCGTGAAGCTACAGAGTAAGAGGGAAGAAACTTGTGTTGGAGGCATGGAGTGGGCGAGCGGAACAGCAAAGAGGAAGGAAGGGAAAAGCTGTTTTCTTGAGGCTGGCACAGACAGACTGTTTGGGAGATCAGGAAGGGGGTTTAACACTGCATCTAAAATGGGTACCAGATATTTGGAAAACAGTTACATCTTCAGAGGGGTCAGCATCTAATGACAGACGGGACTATTCTTCATGTTATTAGAAGTTAGAACTAAGAGGGCCTTGGTAGGATTGGGAATACCCTCCAACAGCCATAATGATTTTCCTGCATGGGTGATCTTTCTGTTGTAACTGAATGGCAGTTTGCATACAGTTCAAACGTCTGATTTTGACTGGTAGAAATTGCCTCTTTAAACAGCAAGTATTTAAATACCCTTGGTGCCACAGTTTTTCTCTGACTCCATGGCTTTGGGGTTTCTTATTTTGGCTCCTGTTAATCCCTGTGGGGTCTCTAATCCTTTTTGAGCAATCTATTAAGGTGAAACACTTTGTAGGCCAACGAGGAGCTCTAAGTGCTGTGACTTTATGTCAGTAATGCCAGAATCCCTGAAAGTGCTAAACCTGTCAGATTTTGGGGAGATTGTTTAGCCATATCATTAGCAGATCATTTGGGTATGTCACCGTAATTGAAAAGAGCAGGTGTGTAGAGCTGTTTTTTAGTTTATCTATGTAATGTAGATGAAGCATTTTGTGTCGTGACAGTCTGTCAGCCAAATACCTTGTCACAAGACTTAAATCCTTTTTTTATCTCAAAGGCTTCAGGGCTCAGTTGGAAACTTGCACTTTGATGAATACTTGCTGCTTTTGTCTGGAATAGCTGGAGTGCATTTCTGGAATATTTGTCAAGATTTTATCAGTGTTTACTCCAGTTTGAGTACCTAGTGTATTGTAAAACTGGCTTCAGTGAAATCTAAAAGAATTTTATTTGGTTTATGCTGTTTAATAATAGAATGAAAACTAATCCTTTGTCTATATGTTTGTTTGCTGTGTTAAATCCCACTTGTGTATGTGGTTCTTTTTAGCCAGCTTTTACCTTTAAAAACATTTTTGGAAGAATTGTTTTAGGTTTAGTTTTGGGTTCTTTTCTATGATAAATCATTTTAACCTAGACTACTTGTTTTCTTGAGTTGTCTGCCAGTACAGGGTTGGGAACAAACTTTAATCTCTCTTTTAAAGCATTCCTTCAGGAACAAGAATTTGCTTTCCATCAAAGCGTTGTGTAAAGCACACTTAAAAAGAGAATTAAATCCTTCTGGACTTCATATCCGAGATCTATGCAAGGAGTAACTATAGAAGAAAATATTTAACTATATTTGTATATTTGCTTCAAAACCATTGTAAGCTAAAATAAGACTTGTGTTTCTTATGTGGTGGGTAAGTGCTCATATGCATAAGAAATCTAACTGGGGTCATCCCTGATAGCTGATAAATAGAGATTGTTATGTGTAAAATGGAGTGATTTTTTTTTTTTTTTAAAATCAAGAAATGGCCAAAGTTGTTCAGTTTCTTCTTGACAAAATTTTAAACCCAAAAAAGAGCATAGGTCCAGGCATACCTGGATGAACAGTAATTCCACTAAGGGATAAACTGATAGTAGCAGCATTAGAGACCGTTATAGACAGCTTTTGAAAATCCTGGCCAGTGATTTTTGGGTTTGTTATGTGATATGCAGGACATGGTATTTCTGTTGACTTAGAATACAGTTTTGAGTGCCAGTATTTGTCAAAATCAGGCCCCGTGGACAGATCTCTCTGTTGTTCTCATCCATTCCTTTTCCACTTTTTGGGTAATCTCTACAAATTAAAGTAAACAAGCAAATAAAAAACCATGTAATTGAAATGATTTCCCAACTCTTTTAGAACTAAATTCTATTTGAAAATTACACCAAGCTCTTGTGGCTTTCTGTGGGACTTTGCAGTGTGGTTTGTTTGCCTAAGTTCAGGCTTGTTGAAAAGGAAAATCTCAGAACATTTTGAAAAGCACACAAAATTTGGAACTGGGTATTATACTGCAGCTTACATTAGTAATATATACTGAATACTAAGTTGATGGGAATATATGCAAAAAGTTCTAGTTATTGCCTAAACTTCGGTGGTTTTATTCACTTTTCCAGTTAAGATTTGTGCTTGTTTAAAACACGACAGTCCATTCCCTTCAGCAGTCGTATGTACACTGGTGACCACTTTCCCATTTCACCCTGTTTTCTAGGTACAGGATATCTCCTTCAGCCATGACTGTCGTTGGGTTGTGGTCAGCACGCTTCGTGGCACTTCCCATGTTTTTCCCATCAATCCTTACGGCGGCCAGCCCTGTGTCCGAACACACATGTCGCCCCGGGTGGTCAATCGCATGAGCCGATTCCAAAAGAGTGCAGGGTTGGAAGAGATCGAGCAAGAGCTGACATCTAAACAAGGAGGACGCTGTAGCCCTGTTCCAGGCCTGTCAAGCAGCCCGTCTGGCTCACCGCTCCATGGTAAATCCCTTTTTATTTTGCTTTTGCCTTTTTTCCTTCCCTTTATATTGTCAGGAAACTGTTGCCCTTGAGACATTAATGCCCACATCTTCTAAGATGTTTCAGTACCTGCTGTGTAGCTGCCTGGCTCAAAAAGGTGTGGTTCCTAAATGCCTTTGGAGATGCTGGCCTGAAGATCTCCACAGTCTTCCAGCTTCAGTAGTATTTGCTAACAGCTTGAACAAGAGAAACATTGATTTCATTGGAGTTTGCAAGAGCTGATTCTATTCGTTCTATTTGCCCATGTAGTTTATGCCACTAAAAAATAATTTTCATACACTAAGTTGCTGCAGGTATTGTGCACTGATATTCAATATCAGTGAATGCAGATACTCTAGGAATGAGCCAAGGTATAAGTATTTCAGAAAGATAGTTGTGATTTTTCAACTTAGGTAAACTGTGCTATCGCAGATGTTTAATAATTTCACTCTAAACTGGAAGTTTTGGGGTCTTCAGGGTTCATAGAATCATAGAATGG